TCTCTCTCTCTCTCTCTCTCTCTCTCTCTCTCTCTCTCTCTCTCTCTCGTCTTCCTCACTCTATCTTCCCTTTTCTTCTTCCCAAACACAATTGTTAAAGAAGCATCACCCAAAATCCCCTGTCGAGCATTAAACAAACAAACACACCCTTGGATGGCTGTTTCCGGTGAGATCAAGAGGAGTTATAACCCTTTCGATGAATACAATCGATGTTCAACACCTCCGCAACCCTCCTACATTCGAAAAATCACAACCCCAAACACCCCACCTCAATCGTTGTTGTTGCAGCTGCTCTGATTCCCTTCTGAATCGTTGCTATCGATGACGAGAAAGAAACCACAATGAGACTCGCCGGGGAGCAGCCTCACCACCTCCTTCAGTTATTCATTGCATCTTCCCCCTTTCGCACCTTTCCTTACCGAAGTTGCTGTTGAGGCAATGGGTCGACATCCAAGGAGACTAACGACACAATTACCCTACCCATCTTCTCTCAACACACACCCAATTACCCCACCCATCTTCTTTCTTCTTGTTTCTCACCTGCACACACGATCACAAAAAAACCTCTTTTTTTGAGTTCCAGTTCCAGTTGTCAATGTTCAACTCATGTTAATTGGGTCTTCTGTAAGCTTTAAAGAAGACAAGCTTTCCAGGCGAATAGGTGGTGACGTAGACGAAGATTTTCAAAACAAAATCAGAGCTGATAACCCTCCCCTTTCTTCTCTGTTTACCTAGGTTCCAAATCGAAGCTTGATTTGTCTCTATTTGCAAATCGAAACCATGGACCCACTCGAACCCAGATTTTTAATATTTGCTTCCTGGTTGATTTTTAATTTCAGAACTTGATTTTTGGTTTTTGAACTTGATTTTCTGGTTGAAGCTGAATGTTCGATTCTCTAGTTGAAGTTGATTTTCGATTTCATAAGTTCAAATACAACCCACCATCGCAGGTTTGGTTTTTTGTATTTTGGGTGGAGAGAGAGAGAGAGAGAGAGAGAGAGAGAGAGAGAAAAACCTTTTTTATTTTTTAATTATTAAAATAAATAAATAGGTATTAATTTTTATTTTAAAAAAAAAAGATATATTTTTTAGGTGCAAAAATGATCATTTATATGTGAAAAGACAAATATACCCTCATGTGAGATGCACATGAGGGGGTTAACATCAATAACTTAACGGAAGTTAAGTCGAGGGACCATTTCTACGTACAAACTAGGCCAAAATGACCATGAATCCAAAAAAGTCGAAGTTTGGACTGAAATCCCAAAAAAATGCATACCACAGGGACCATTTTTGCAATTTTATCTAAATACTTTAAGCTAATCTTACTATAAATTATGTTTTTGGCTCTTGTACATATATACATTTTTCGTAGCATGTCATGGGGTGCTACATCTAGTTTTCATATACAAATAATAAGCGGGTATCTTTTGCAAATTTGGAAGTGCATGATCTTAAATTTCATTTTTCACGTTTGCAAAATCAAAAGTTCTCATTAACCGTTTTCTGAATCAATCGTTAAACTCAAATCAGGAGCTTAATGGGGTTTTTTTCCTCATCCTGTTCAAATTTATTATCTTTTCTTCCGTACATCCGCCAACAAAACTCGACCACATAAGTAGTTAATAAGTATATAACCAACAGTTGTTAGCGATTACCTCACTACTATACTACCTGAAGAGATCTTCATCTTCTCCTAATCCGCACACACGAATTGTTGATTCGGTTGACGTTGACAAATCTAAGAACCGATCATGGGGCATGGTATATTCAGATTTAATTTAGAAAAAAAAAAAATCTTAATTTACAATCAACATATAAGGATCGCAATCGAAAAACAGAAGCTTGTACACACAAATACGATAATTAATCTTAGGATTAATGTCATAAAACAATAACGAACTTTGAAAATATGTATCAAAATAATGTCAAGTTGAATTAACACATCCGGGTTTGTAGTTTGAACTTCTTTTTTTGATCTAGTTAATTATATGATTTGATGTTATGTTGTTAATCTTTCTAACCATTTTTGTTTTGTTATAACCTAACGTTTGCCGCTTGAATTAGGTTAGTTCAGTCTCGCTATTCGATTCGTAAGATCCGTAATTGTTTTATGAATTGATGCTAAGTGACACACATTGAATTGGTTATGTGATGTGGTTAACTCCGGTGTAAACTAAAGTTGCACGTTTTTACGCTTCCAATCTTATAAGAAGTATTGAATGTTGTTGAGAACATTTGCACAAAACTTAATGTGATATTTCAATCTATTTGTAAGAGGTTGTTTAGAGTAGATTAGTAAGGTTAGATTTAATTCAAAGAGTTTGTTTTGATTAAAAAAAACACTTTGATGAATAGAAGATGCTAGAGCTTGTTAGTATTTTCAAGTACCAACTTAGATTAGGATTTAATGTGGCATAGATTCATCAATTAGGTGAATAGAACTTAGAACCGGATTGTTTCTACTCTTATTTCTAGTATTTGTCTTACCGTATTAATTTACTTGTTTTCGAATTCCCCGTATTTCCTTTTTATGCATTGGAATAAACATGACTATTTTGGTTTATTTATTTTTTAAAACCGAGTCTGTGAGAATATATCACTATTATTTTTAAAGAATACAAATGCAAATATGACTTATTGTTTGATGGATTCGACACCCATCAGGTGATCATAATGTTAACAACCTTGAAACCCAGTAATGACTAATGATCCAACAAAGTTAATTGTTATCTAACCCATTAGTTAATTATAAGATGAAATTAAATCTGATAAAAGAGATGATGACACAATCGACCCATTTATATTGCAAGCGTTCCCGCAAAATCTTCAAAAGCCCTCTTTGACAACAATTACAGCCTTCACAGCAGAGGCATCAATATCTACACAAGAAAATTTATGTTTCCCTAAACATGATAATCAGAATCATAAATATAAAATAGATCAATACAGAATAGTGAAATACAATTTTAAGAGACAGGGGTCGTAATCCTAAGCTGGATGTTGTAAGATTATTTGTAGACAAATTATTTTGTGCTGAACTGGATGTTGTATCATGAGTAGGCTGAAAATTCTTCAACATGAAAGAGTAGTAGTATGAAAAATAATGTTTTTATACCGTATAATCTCTTGGTTCCTTTGCCTAAACTTGGATTTGAGTAGGTAGTAGTAAGTAAATACATATCAAGAAGCCAATGATGATGTGACACTTGGTCTTACTTTGTTTCATAGTATCATTTGCAATTTATTTCATTCACAAACACGTACGGATAGAGATAGTCATATTTGATTCACTACTGGTCAAGTAGATATTAAGGTGGGTTAAAATAGTAAAAGACTTAACTTATCCATTCAGAAGAGGTCATTTTTTGACTTGAAACCAAGTCCATACAATGCAAAACATTTGATTGACTTGACAGGCACAGCAAACCATACACTAGTAAAAAAATACAATGTACTCAAATGGCACTGAACCATGGCAACACACAAGAAAAGCAATACATGTAGTTTTGGGGCATATTACTAATTTATGTCACCATGTTATGTTTCTTTGTAGGCCATTTGGCACTCAAAACAACAAAACAAGCCAGCCAGCTGCCTCTGTATAGTTATATGTTCTTCTGTTCATACAAAACGTTTCTTAAACAGTTGATGTCTCTTTGCTGGATCCTTAGGCTTGCTCTTTGCAAAACCTCCCTTTTGTCCACTCCTGCAAACCAAACACACCACTTATATTTATATAAACAAAAAAAACATATAATATAAAGTATAAAAGAAAGGCCACCAAGCAACCAACCTGAACTCATGATAGATCATTCCTTTAGCTCCTGACATGGCACTCATGGACCCCATCATACGCTTTTGTCGTGCAATGTCATCATTTGTATCATCTTCAAGTATTTCCAAGCCTAACTTATCATCCCCAGCACTTAACACCTATCATATACATATCATATCATATATGCTTGCTTCAAAGTTAAGTTATACCAGCAGCAGAAATTCAGCATTAATTAATTAAGTCGAGACCTTGTTAAGAAGAGAAACTTGGTCCTTGAGACAATCATAGCTCAACTCTGCCCCACTGTCTGGTGGAGGCAGACTTGTTATCACCTGTTCACATCAAAACCAACCACAAAAATATTATTATTATTATTATTATTATTATGAATAAATAAAACACTAACTATATAATGAAATGAACTACCTTAAAACTATAACCTTGATCGATCAAAAATTGCTGCCGCTTAGTTGAGTAGTACATTTCCTACATCATTATTCATTGTGTTTGTCAAATTAGCCATCCATTCCATTCTATTCAATAATATAAATATAATATAATATAATATAACCTACCTGTGTATCTGTAGATACTAGGGAGTAGAAGAATGCATTGTACTCCTCTTTTCCACCTGCCATTCTATCCTGCTGACGACCCTACACTCCACATCCACAAACACAAAGTATAATAACAAATTTAAATTTATAAAAAAGAAATACAAACCTTAGCCCTGAGAATACGGCCAAGACGTTGGGCTTCTTGACGTCTGGAACCAGCATGTGATGAAATTTGAATAACTACATTCGCTTCCGGAATATCTATTGAATTATCTCCCACCTACAACAAACAAACATTTAAAAAAAAAAAAAAAAAAAAAAAGCCATTGATTACCTTTGACAGGAATACAGTGTTGATTTTATTGCCGGTTTTGAATTCATCCAGTATCTTTGTCCTTTCAATATGGCTGCACACGAAATATAAAATATTAACATGTGCAAGCAAAGACAAAATTTCCTTTTAAAGTAATATATATATATAGACGGGTCGTACCTTGTGGCACCATAAATCATTGGTTTACGAAGCTTGGTTGCATATTCCGTGAGTGCAAAAAGATTGTCAGCAAAAATGATAACCTTATCATGACGTTGTTCCTCATGGAACCAAATAAGAAACTCACAAGCCCTAAACTTGTTAGGGTTCATCACATATAAAGCCTGCATATATAATAACACACACCTATTGTTATTATTATTATTATTATTATTGTTATTATTATTATTATTTATTCTAATAAGATCATACATACCTGTTTCTTCTTGGAATTTTCTTTCTTTAGATATTCAGCAAAAAACTCTCTTGTCATTGGACACCACACTTCAGCACATTGCACATTTGCAATGAATCCTCCTTTAACCAAATCCAACCAATTCGCCTCGTATAACTTCGGACCAATCAGAAAATTCAAATCCGTAATCCTTTCGTCCTCTCTAACAAGTGTAGCTACAATTTTTTTTTTTTTTTTAGAAAAAACTCCCACATCAGACAAAATTAAGAACATTAAATCCTTATTAGTAGTATTTCAGAAGCATACCAGTAAGCCCAAGCTTGCAGTGAGATTTAGTGATGCTAATAACTTTACGAAACATATGCGCAGGTACCACGTGCACCTGAAATTTGTTTTGTTTTTTTGGAATATAATCAAGGGTAAAATGGTCATTTCGTCTTTTGTTGATTACAGTACTTTATTCAAAAGCGTATCGTATGTACCTCGTCCATGAGTAGCAAACCCCATTCTCTATTTCTTATTTCTTCAATGATTTTTTCAGATTCTTCGGATCTTTTACCACCAAAAGCTACCATGTTATATGTGGTGACAACAACTCCAGCATTTCCACAAAACCTTTCTTTACTATCGGATGTAAAGCGACATATATGTTCATCACGAATGTTTGACCATAACTTGAATTGAAAAGCCCATTGGTCAACAGAAACAGCATTTGTTGCTAAACAAAGACAGCTCTTTTTAATCCTGCAGGCTGCAGAAACCCCCACTAAAGACTTTCCAGCACCACAAGGCAACACAATGATCCCAGACCTTGCTCTTCCTGCAGCCTCAACAAATGTTAAAAAAAACTCTCTCAACAAATACAAATATTAACA